CGGCCCAGCTCTAAAACGGGGGTCGCTCCTCTGCCCAGAGGCCCGGGGCAGCCAGAGAGCAGCAAGGTCAGTGCCAGCCTGGGGACGCCCTTGCAGCCGGCCCTTCCTCCCGTCTCCAGGTGTCGGCCCCTCAGGTGGTCCTCCACCACCTGCTCTTCCCCGCCGCTTGGGGCTGCTCACCACACAGTGGCACCTGACTTCGGCCCCATCCCCACTTCCTCTCCGAGCAACCTGGAGCAAGCACCCTGACTTCTGCTCCCTCACAGATAAAACCCAGGTATGGATAAGGCCCCCCAGCAAGGGGGGGAGGGTCCCCTGACAAGGCCCATGTGCCCGGCAGCCCAAGCCCACAGCCCCAGCACACGGTCCTCACGCTGGGGGACCAGGCCCGCCACATTCTCTGCGCACAAGGGGAGAGCTGCAGGCTCATGCCCCGGGCAGAGATGGGCTCAACAGGGAGACAGAGACACATGAGCGAAGGTGGTTCGTTGGGCAAATTAAAGATGGTGGCCCTGCCCGGTCAGCGCAGCTCAGTGGTTGAGCGTCGACTCATGAACCAGGAGGTCACGGTTCGATTCCCAGTCAGGACACAAACTCGGGTTGGGGGCACGACCCCCAGTGCAGGAAGCAGGAAATCAATGATTCTATCTCCCTCATCATGGATGTTTCTATCCCTCTCTCCCTCTACCAAGGTACATGCCCTTGACCAGAATCGAACATGGGACCCTTCAGTCCGCAGGCTGATGCTCTATCCTCTGCGCCAAACTGGTCAGGGCACAAATACATTTTTTTAAAAACACACACACACGAAAAGATGGGCGCCCCTGAAACTCAGGACCGTGGGTGTGTGGGGCTTGAGAACAGGCAGTGACCTAGGTGGGGAGGAGGCCGTCCCACCCTCCGGCACCTGGCGCGGGTCTTTAAGAAGCCGTCCCAGTGCCTTTCTGAGCCAGGCTCCCATGCCGTTCCACCAAAGCAGGGACGCCCCTCCTGATAATCCCCTCTGTCCTCCGTGAGATGGCCTGGCTAGGCGCACGGACACGGCCCTCTGCCCTTGGGGCCCAGGCAGTGTACGGCACGGGGTGGGGTACAGACAAGTCCGGGGCTCAGCAGTGTGCCGGCCCAGCAGGCTCAAGAATAGGACTGCTACCACCCAACCTACCCGTGGCAGCCGTCCAAATCTCGGATCGGCGGAACCTTATGACAAAGCCACCTCCCAGGCCCAAAGGTGGCTGAGCCTCAGCGGTTCACACGGCTCAATGCAAGGGCACCGCACTCACAGTTTATAAGGCGCCCTCGGAGACATGACCGTGTTTGACCTCAACGAGACCCGAAGAGTCTGCATTTCACTGGGGTGACCGCCACTCGGTGCAGAGCCGAGGCCACACTCAGACGCCCGGATTCCCACCAAATCATGTCCCTCGGGTTAGCAACGCGGGGAGAAGGAAAGGCCCCTCTTGGCTCAGTCAACCAGGCTGTCCCCGCTACAGGCACTCTTAGAGTTGACGAACCACCTTTCCCAGCACCTTCCTGGTCCTGACGCTGGTCCCAGGGGAAGCCAGAACCCCTCCCTCCTTCCCAGAGGGGCTGGGGTGCCTAAATGAAGGCCTGGCCCTAACTGGTTTGGCTCAGTGGATAAAGCGGCGGCCTGCGGACTGAAGGGTCCCAGGTTCGATTCCGGTCAAGGGCATGTACCTTGGTTGTGGGCACATCCCCAGTAGGGGGTGTGCAGGAGGCAGCTGATCGATGTTTCTTTCTCATTTGATGTTTCTAACTCTCTATCCCTCTCCTTTCCTCTCTGTAAAAAATCAACAAAATGTATTTTAAAAAATAATAATAAATAAATGGAGGTCTGGGACCAAGGGGAAGGGTGCTCTGGGCGGCAGGCACAGCAAAGGCAGAGAGCCGGGCGCTCAGAGGGTGGGATGGACGGAGCAAACAACCCACCTCTATGGGAACAGGAGGTCTCTCCCTGTCTCCTAGTCTCTCTCTGATGACAAGCCGGCAGCCCAAGGCATCAGCCCAGCTCAACAGGGGCGCTCTGCACACCACCCCAGGGCACGCGAACGTGCACGGGCAGAGCCACAGGGCCACGCTCAGAGGAACCCAGGCAGGAACGGGCAGCCGTCACCCAATCCAGGGCGAGTATGAAGGGCACGCGACCAGGCGGGGCTGGGCAGGTGGGCAGCCTGGGCAGCCTGGGGCTCTGCCAGGACTTGGACTCTAGAAGCCCAGAACTTGACTCCGAAGTGAAGGGAGACATCTGAGCCCCGGGGCCACCTGGGGCCAGGATGGAGCTGGGCTGGGGCTGCTGGAGCATGGGGACCCTGGGCAGGCTGGGAAGACAGGGCCAGTGTTGGGGTGGCTGCAGCGAGCGAGCCGGACCAGAAAGGAAAGGGCTATTGGGTCTCAACCCACAGCCCAGGAGGACAGTCTTCTCTCCCCAAGAATAGGGCATGCTCTCCTCTCCGCTTTTATTCGACGTAAACGTTGGTCTTCAGGCTCTGACATAAAGAGCACGTGCTGTGTGGTTCCGTTTCTAAAACGTTCCGGAACAGGCTAATCTGGTGCTAGAAGCCAGGACAGCGGCTGTGCTGCGGGGTGGGAGGGGTTCTGGGTAGCGGGGAGGTTCTGTATTGGGTTGGGCGGTGGTTGCACAGGTTTACACAACTGTCAAAGCAAACCAGATGCACACTCAGAATCTGCACGCGTTACTGTCTGCAAGTTATGCCTCGATTCCCAACAAAATAAAAGTCAGCGCTCGGCCTTGTCATCCCATTTCCTGGGACTGTGCAATCTCACTTTCCTGCCCTTAAAAATTCACTTAAAAATTCGCGGTCCACGGCCGAGAACGGCAGCTGCCTTCCGTCTGCAGAGTCAGCGCCAATCACGGCGCGGGTGGCGGTGGCGGGGGCCACAGGGCCTCCTTTCTCTTCCCTTTGACCCACTTCCCTGATAAGTGACAAGACAGCCAGACTGGGAACAAATGCGCCCCTTATTCCTCAGCCCCGAGCCCCGGCTTAATCCGCCCGGACAGACGGATGGATGTGAGGGGCTTTGAGACGTCGGCCAGTTGTCAGTCTGCCCCTCAGACCCAACAGTGACGCCTCTGTCCCCCCCGCCTCGGCCGGCCACATCCCCGCCGTCTTTTTGTTTCCTGTCCCTGCGAACATCTGTTAAAACTACTTCTTGGCGAGGTGGGGCAGGCGGACCGTAAATCACGGCCTCGCAGCCGCCGGCCCGGACACTCCCGTGAGCCACCTACCCAGGTCGTTCAGGCCCAGAGCAGTGGGGGAGGGGGGGTGCACTGCCCAGAAGCCCCCAGCGATGAGGAAAGTGTGGGGACAAAAGTCAAAACAACAGGGGCACGTCCCACAAAGAGCCGGCCGCTAAGAGGCTGGAGCGAGGGAATCAGCAGGCCTCCTCGGACGGGGTGGTAACTCCCAAATAAGGCCCCGCTACTGCTGTTTTTAGCCCATTCCACATAATTGGAAAAACATGGGGGAAACCAAAGCCAGCTGGGCGCCTCAGCAGAGCGGCTTCGGAGGGGAGGAGGGGGCGGGGAGGCCGAGCGGGAGGCGGCGGGCACTGAGCTGAGATCGGGGCCAGCCCCAAAGGGCTCCTCGCATGCTGGTTTCCAGGGACAAGAGTCACTGGGTCCCCCCGAGTCCCCCCAAGCCCCTGGCAAACCTGGGGCCACTTGGTGTGACTTCCTTCCCAGTCTCAAACCTCAGGACCCGCACCAGGGCCGCTCACCAGGAGGGGCTGGGGGACCTGAGACAATGCACCCGAGCCCAAAGGAAGGGACCCCGAGTCTTACGCTCGGTCCACATGGACCCCACGTCCTGTCCACACAGGCATCCCGGACAGCAGCCCCTCCTCTGACCGCCGCCCCCCCCCCTCCCCGTGCAGAGGGGAGTCCCCTGCACTCCCATTTCACAGGCGAGGAATGGCTGCCGGACCAGCCCCACTCCACCTCCACCAGCGCTCGGCAGCCAGAGGGCCCGCCCCCATTCCAACCTCCCCTATGAGGGGGGACGCTTGCACACCGCTGGAGGCCATACCCATTTCCTGGGTCCGAGCATCACCACCACCTCAGCCCTTTTCTTGGGGAAGGCACCGACCCCCTATATAAGGCTGGCTTTCATTCACTCAAAGTCGGGAAAAAATAGAATTCTCACAAATTTTCATTTCAACTCCATAAAGCAGACACCCGAAGCGAGAGTCCCAGGCACCTCAGTCACGCCCAAGGTCCTAGCTGCAAATCCTGAGACATTCCTGGAATTCTGGTGCACGCGGGAGCCTCACAAGCCCCTTAACAAAAACTACTTGCACGCGTCCCCACCGGGCCAGGCGCCTGCACAACCCACCTTCTGGGAGGGACTCATGTCCACCCCCCACTCCTTCCCCAAATGCCCACGTGCAGCCTGGCCCCAAACACCCCGAGTGGGCGGAGATGGCGACCAAGCCTGCCGCCAGCCACCCCTCCCTCTCCCAGAGCAGACATCACAAGCCGATCCAACACAGGGCTCAGCCAGGCATCACCAGTCAACACCAGATGCAGGTCCCTCTTCGTTCAGGGCCAGGCCCGGCAGCACGAGTCAGAAACAGCAAAAACAGACAGAAGGGAAACACACAGCAGGGAAGCCGGTTCCAAGGGACGCCCGCTTCCAGAAGAGCACGCGGGGCCTGCCACCCGCAGCCCGAGGCTCAGATACCACACAGAGCAGGGGCCCTTCCGGAAAAAACAGTCGGCGCCTGAGCCCACGGAGCACCCAGTGCCTGGAAATTAAGGGGGAGAATAAAAAGGTGGTGAAATACCTAAAGCCAAGGAAAGGCAGGGCGTGTGGGAGAAACCAACCGAACCGGGGCGTGAAAAGGTCCCATCAGGAACCGGCTCTCCACCGACCTTCCCTGGGGGTCATCACAGGACGACCCCCCCGGGACAGACGGGGAGACCCCTCCTGCCAGGGCGGCGCAGCCAGCGCCACGCGTCTCACCTGCCTTGCACGTCTTGCCGTTGTCTTGCAGCTGCACGCCAGTGGGGCAGGCGCACGTGTAGAAAGGCTCCCGCGGGGACAGCAGGCAGAGGTGGGAGCAGCCCCCGTTGTCCTCCTCACACTGCGTGTGGACTGGGGGAAACGGGGCAGGGTGAGAGAAAGTTCTAGAACAGGGCCCCCGACCTCCCATGCCCTGGGAGCCCCAGTGTGTCCCTCTGCCCAATCGCCATCCTCTCGGGGCATCGGGGGTCACCACGGCACCCCATCCCACCTCCCCGCTGATCCCACCACGCCCGCTCGGCCATCAGCCCCGCCAACTCCTCCCATTTCTCCCAGCCTCCCTCATGGCCCAGGTGTGGGCATCTTCCCGCCCCCAATCTTCTACAAGAGGCCCTCGTCTCCCTCAGGGCCCCACAAAGGACACCTCCTCCAGGGAGGCCACCTTCAGCCTTCCCTGGCAGGATCTCAGAACCTGCCTATATGGTCATGACCGGGACCCCTGGAATAGGCCCTACACTAGCCCTGCAGGGGGGCCCCAACCAGGCCGCTTCCCAGCCCACCCCTGCACTCTGCACATCTCCCTCTGCTCTAGCAAGCATCCCCTTTTCCCCACTAGCCTGAGGATAGGCCTCCCCCAGACCCTGGGGCGGTGGGGGCACTGGCGACTCACTGTAGGGCTGCCGCTCGGGGCTGAGCACTTGGATGTCCATGGGCGAGTAGAGAGCACGGAGGATCTCCTTGCGCTTCTCCCCGGTCCTCTTGTTGCAGGCGTGGATGGAGCGGGTCTGCCAGTCCGTCCAGTACAGCGTGTCCCCCGAGAGCGTCAGGGCAAAGGGGTGCGTCAGGCTGCCCTCCACCACCTTCTGCCTGCGGGTGTGGAGGAAGACGGGGGTGCAGGAACCTGTTCAAAACCCGGTCGGACCCTGGGGCTTTAGGTCCACCATCCCTTGTCTGCAAACCCAAAAGTCTGAAAATTGAAAGCGTTTTCTCCTCATTTAACGGCCAAACCTGTGCATGGATGTGGGGCTAAATCATTTCAATTTCACTGAGAATGAGCACGTCACACCTTGCTATAAAAATATTCATGTGGCCGATGGCAGATGCCACCACAGACCCTGCTCGGGGTGTGATGTTAGATGAGGTGTGTGCGCTCTACTACGGTTCTAAGTAAGAGTTGTGAAGTCCTCAAGCCCCCAGGATTCAGACAGAAGACTATGGGCCTGAGTTAAGGACGCCTGCCAACCTCCGGCGTGGCCTGGCCAAGGCCCTGGTGGCAAGTGGGGTGTAGTGGGGGCCCACAGCTGGGCAGCCACCTACCGGAACGAGCCGTCCAGGTTGGCACGGTGGATGAAGCTGAGCTTGGCGTCGGCCCAGTACAGCTTCTGCTCCTCCAGGTCGATGGTCAGCCCGTTGGGCCAGTAGATGTCTGAGTCCACAATGACTTTCCGGGTGCTGCCGTCCATCCCCGCCCGCTCAATTCGGGGTGTCTCACCCCAGTCTGTCCAGTACATGTACCTAATGAGGGGGCAGGGGAGGAGGTAACAGATCTGCTTGTTGTTTTTGTTTTCTGCCTCCACAAATGCAAACAGGAAACAGAGAGCGTGAATGTGCCCCAAAGTCTCAGCCAGCAGACAACCGAAGCTTAGGGCCTGGGCTATTACTACTTCCGATTGGTTTTCTAAGCAGTTAGTAATACATAAAATGATTTTCAACAAAGTTGGATAATCAAAATATACCATTTCCAATCGTTCTCATTAGCAATATATTCTGGGCACCCAATCTTTTTACTTATAGAAATTCCCTTTATTCTTTTATGGCAATTAGTACTATAAATTATTTAAATAACTTCGCAGTGGGTGTTCGAATTGTTATCTGATATTCTGCAACTATGACAATGCTGTAAATGAACCTCTTGAAGACAGTTGAAGACGTGTGCGATGGAATGTAACTTAGCACTAAAATGAAACAGCAAGGAAGAACCTTACAAGTACATTAAATGGAAGAAGCCAATCTGAAATGGCTACACGCTGTGGGATCCGACCACATGACATTCTGGAAGAGGGAGAACGGTGGAGACAGTACAAAGATCGGGGCGCCAGGGGCTGGGGGGAGGGGGTGACCAGGCGGAGCACGGAGGACTTGCGGGGCAGTGACACTGCTCTGTCTGATGCTACGATTAAACCTCTGTCAAACGCACAGCATCCACAAGGGAGTGCAGGAACTCTCCACCTTCCCCTCAGTTTTGCTGTGAACTGAAAACTGCTTTAAAAAGTGAAGTCTATTAAAAACAACAACAACAACAACAAAACACAGCACCATGTACGTGGGGTGGACACTGAACTATCACAGCAGGTGCTCCTGGGTGGGATGGTGGTTGGGGGGGGGACGGACTTGGTTTTGTTCATCCACATTCTCACGTTTCCAGCGAGGGGCATTCCCCCCCACAAAACCTCCACCTCCTCACAGGCTTCCTCATCTGATGGCCCAGCAAGTGAACGAAGACGCTATGTGTGACCCCAGGCAGCCAGGGTGACAGGTTCACATCCACCAGCGCCCAGAGACTGTCCCAGTTTTCCAGGCGGGGGGCCCACCTATCTTGTCCACCTGAGTCTCTATGCAGAAAAGGGGGACGGTGTCGGATTTGCGGAGCCCCTCGCCCACTCGTGGATTTAGGGGGCGTGCAGGAGGCAGCCGATTGATGAAGCTCCCCAGGTGGCGTGGTCTCCCAGTCCCGTCCCCCCCACCCCACCCCCCATGGGCACGGATCCTGGTGTTAGCAAATCCGTCACCCTGGACCTCAGCGACTGCTGCAGAGACAGCGGCTCATTCACGCTGGGCCGAGGGGGGTGAGTTGGAACCCCAGCTGGGAAGGCAGGGGCTCCCAGGAGCCACCTGTGCCATCGCCCGCGAGGGCCTGCCCAGACAGAGGAGGCGGCGCCCGCGACATCATGTGAGTCTGAGAACAGAGTCACTCCGTGCGCCCATGGGCTCTCTTCTGTGTGAGCCGCTTCTCTCTGTGCCGCCTCAGGTGCCCCGCCGCTCTCGCCTCCATTTCTTCAGAGGTCAAACCACTTCCCATGTCAGCAACGCCCGAGCTGCCAACCCTCACGACCAGCGTGGTCATCAAGGAGAGGGAATGATACACATACAGCTGCCATGTGCCCCCCAGGGGAGCCTGTGACCACAGGAGCTGCGGGTACCTGAGCCCCCCGCCCCCGTTCCGTGGGATCATGCTGGCTTCTTGAGATGGGTCATCTCTGAGCCGGTACCATCACCACCTTCCTGTGAGGACTTGAAAATGAGCAGGCGCTTCGTACAAAACACACCCCCTCCTCCCTGCATGGCCAACGGCACCCAGCAGCGGTCACCGAGCTCCCCGGCCCTGGGGGGGGACACACAGGAGAGAGCACCTCTCCAAAAGGCCGCTGTCTCCTTTGCATCCAGTGAGAACTCGACGACACGGGGGAGCGGGAATTCCGTTCCCAGGGCGCAGATGAGAAAACCGGGGCTCTGCACGGTTGGCCCGCCCCAGGTCACGTGCCAGCAGCAGCTCTGGGAGCGCAGGGCGGGGCTCGGGTCAAGGCCAGATCCTGGCCATCATATGACTCAGCCCTCTGCCAGCGGCCCGGGGGTGGGTGCACATTTCCTGGCTGCC